GTAGGTCTGCTTAAGACAGATATTTCTAGCAACTGAGAAGTAAAACTGCCACTCTATGGGCAAATTTAAAGTTCCTCTGAATTCAGATTTCTGTACATAACTATGATTATGTTATTAAATCACACATTGACATATTTTATTGCACTACGATATGAAAGCACACATTGCAAGAAAGAAAGTACAAGAAAATGTTATAGATTACTGCAATCATGCACAATAAAAACAAATACTAAAAAGCTATAGAATAAACCATGTTTGAACATCGATGAGTACAGGGAAGTATAACAAAGCAAATGAAAACAGAAAATAAAGCATTAAATAAATATTTACAGGTGCAAGACACTTATTTTTACATATATTAGCAATATTTTATATTTTATTCAATTACGTGCTATTTCTAATTTAATACTCTTTGCTTGATAAGCAAACAGCAAACATAATAATATTTTTCGAACACATATCCCGATCTGCTGCAACGGATAATCCCTTAGCAGGGAAAAAGTATCACGCTGTCTTCCTAGAGGAAGTGCATCATCGGATGACAACCATAACGTAGTCTACCAAACCTCTGAACCAACCACTTACTAATCGCACAAAACGATACACACGAATGATGAGTTAGACGTTTTAGTAAAAAACTTCACAAATGATCTTTGCTCAGCCTATCATGATAACTCCAAATCTATTCTCGAGGACAACATCAAGCAAAATAAGCAAATTAAAGACCTTATTAAAAAACGAAACCATGCCAGAAAAGTTTGGCAAAGATCCAGGCATCCAGATGACAAATTCAGACTAAATGCTCTACATCATCAAGTCAGGACCCTTACACAAGAACACGCACGTAAACGCTGGGCTAATTACCTTGAAGGACTCAGTACAGATGATAATTCACTATGGACAAGGAACTTCAAGGTACAAAAGAAGCTACATGAATATTCTGCCCCTTAAAGGCCAAACTTCAGTCGCTTACATAGAAACTGAGAAAGCTCAGTCTTTAGCAGATTACTAATGCTACTCAGTTTATCACTAACAACATTTCTGATACAAACCACTGAACGAAACAGTTGCAAACCACTATTCTTTTCACAACCATGCACTGAACAACAGCATCGCAGTTAATCCGGCTGACGTACTTAGCTATATCGAGTATATGAAAAAGAAAAAGAGCCCAGGAAATGACAATGTTACCAATGAAATGATAAAAAAAAATGGGACTACAGATGATATTCATATTGACTCGAATCATTCAATACATTATTGATCTTCGTTATTTCCCTCTCCAGTGGAAAACGGCAATCATTGTTCCCATCTTAAAACCGGGAAAGAAACCAAGTAAACCTGAATCATACAGGCCGATTAGCTTACTTCCCTCCTGCAGTAAAATTGCGGAATCCATCATTCTTAAAGCAATCCTAACGAATGCAGAAGAACGAGGAGTTCTGATTCCCGAACAATATGGTTTCTGGAAATAGCATTCAACACTACATCAACTTTACAGGGTAACAGAACTTCTTTCCTCTGGACTCCAGAAAAAAGTTTGGCAAAGATCCAGGCATCCAGATGACAAATTCAGACTAAATGCTCTACATCATCAAGTCAGGACCCTTACACAAGAACACGCACGTAAATGCTGGGCTAATTACCTTGAAGGACCCTTAAAGGACAAACTTCAATCGCCTACACAGAAACTGAGAAAGCTCAGTCTTTAGCAGATTACTATGCTACTCAGTTTATCACCAACAACATTTCTAAACAAACACTTACGAACACTATTACACAATTCTTTTCACAACCCCGCACTGACAACAGCATCGCAGTTAATCCGGTTGACGTACTTGGCTATATCGAGTATATGAAAAAGAAAAAGAGCCCAGGAAATGACAATGTTACCAATGAAATGATAAAAAAAAATGGGACTACAGATGATATTCATATTGACTCGAATCATTCAATACATTATTGATCTTCGTTATTTCCCTCTCCAGTGGAAAACGGCAATCATTGTTCCCATCTTAAAACCGGGAAAGAAACCAAGTAAACCTGAATCATACAGGCCGATTAGCTTACTTCCCCCTGCAGTAAAATTGCGGATCCATCATTCTTAAGCATCCTAACGAATGCAGAAGAACGAGGAGGTTCTGATTCCCGAACAATATGGTTCTGGAAATAGCATTCAAAACTACATCAACTTTACAGGGTAACAGAACTTCTTTCCTCTGGACTCCAGAAAAAAGTTTGGCAAAGATCCAGGCATCCAGATGACAAATTCAGACTAAATGCTCTACATCATCAAGTCAGGACCCTTACACAAGAACACGCACGTAAATGCTGGGCTAATTACCTTGAAGGACCCTTAAAGGACAAACTTCAATCGCCTACACAGAAACTGAGAAAGCTCAGTCTTTAGCAGATTACTATGCTACTCAGTTTATCACCAACAACATTTCTAAACAAACACTTACGAACACTATTACACAATTCTTTTCACAACCCCGCACTGACAACAGCATCGCAGTTAATCCGGTTGACGTACTTGGCTATATCGAGTATATGAAAAAGAAAAAGAGCCCAGGAAACGACAATGTTACCAATGAAATGATAAAAAAATGGGATATACTACTGTTGCAATATTTCTTGATATAGCTAAGGCCGTGTTTGGTTCGATGGCCTTATTTACAAACTAATCAAACTGGATTTTCCAGAATACATCATTATAAAACTCTATTCCTATCTATCTGATAGATACTGTATCGTTCGCATCAATAACAGCTACTCTAATAAACAAAAAAGTGTGCTGGTGTTCCCCAGGGGGCGCCACTTGCATCGCTACTCTATAATATTTATGCGAAAGATATACCACACACACAGGACACAACAATTGCTATGTACGCTGATGATACGACGATTCTCTCCCAAAATGCTTCTATTAGCTCAGCTGTCCAACATTCACAAACATACATCCACGCACTAGAGTCCTGGCTACTCAAATGGAAAATCAAAATCAATGTTGATAAGACTACAGCAGTCATGTTCACGAGAAAAAGAAACATCTCAGAGCAACTTTTTTTTATACTCCTATTCCCTGGACCAAGGAAGTCAAATACCTCGGTGTAATTCTAGATCACCATCTCACATGGAACTCCTACATCAAACACGTAATTTCCAAGTTTCGAGAAAGTAAAACTAAACCCCTTAATCTCTCGAAACAGCGTTTTAGCAATAGACCAAAAATTACTCATTTATAAGGCCATCCTGCGACCAGTTCTCACTTATGCCTGCCCAGTCTGGGATATGTTTGCAAAACCTCTTTACGCAGAATCCAAACACTTCAAAACACCACCTTAAGGCAGATTACCAACTGTCCATGGTATGCTCGAACGGAAAAAATTCACCAAGAATGTAGAATTCCTCAAATATTAGAAGTTATGATTAAACTCTCAGAAAAATTCTATTAAAACCTAGATAAGCCAAATAACCCCTCAATTACAATCTTGAATTATGATACAAACTCTGCAGCAAACAGAAAGAAGCCCAAAGCCATCCTCCCTTCTATCGTCTAATTAATAAGTACTGGTTTCTGCCTTAATTTTTATCTTACTATCTCAATACTGATGAAGGCAATAATATAAATATTTTCTATATAAAATTCTTTTTTTAAATTTATAATAATAATAATAAAGAGAGAATTACTAAGCTTAAAATCAGCCCATCAGGCAACATTATATACCAAAATGACCAGGTAAAATTCAGCCTTAGAGCTAACTTAATACTGAACTGCATAATATAATTAATTAACCATAAACAGTCTAATTTAACTTTTCCCCTCCCCCTATTCTTTAGATCGCCCATCAAAATTAGTATGGTACTGGAAAGAGCCTTGCCCCTCCCCCCTAGCACACTACTGGTCAACTTGCTCAGTTATGCTTCTCCTCCAAGCCATTCACTGACCTGCATCCCCTGATTTGCCTCTGACTGCTGACGAAGCTCACTCACCTAGCTACGCACTTTCCGCCAAGACGTCTCATCGCTACACTCTGAAATTATTATCGTCACGTTTTTGTCACGTTTCCAATTCTCATTCTGCAACAGTATGGATTTTACTTGTACATTCTACTCCCTCACAAGATTTGTTATTCATCTCTACCTAGTCGCAAGATCTTCATGTAATTGCTCCAGAAATCTCATATTCAATGCCATCTAAATGCTATGTTCAAAATTCGGAAACTAGAATAATTTACTCTATTGGGATAGGGTCTGACCCAGGAGTCCGACTTCATTGAATTTCGTTCAACGAGACAATAAGCTGTTGCTCCTCTTTTAGGCGTTAAGGCTGTTCTCCGAATCTTATCGTAATCACGCTTTTCTCATATATTTTCCTCTTCTCCTTAGCTGCTATTCCTCACATGATATTTACTATTCACGCTAAACTGACTCTGCGGTTTACCACCTGCGGTTACATCTTATAACGACACTGGACTTGCCACCCCCCGTTTTTTTTTTTTTTTTTTTTTTTTCCGCCGCTGCTAGTGCGGACGTCACTCTCTTTTTTCCGCCTCCCACACTTCCTTCCACCCTACTCTTTCTCCTCCTACCCGATCCTTATCAGAAGTCGAGTGAAAACATGTTTCTACATCTTGACACTCGAAGATTAAAAAAAAAAAAAACGATCTGTGAGATTTACTCAAGGAGTCTATTCTAACCTCCTTGGATTTACTTCCGTTGGCATAATAAAATGTTGCCCACGTCCTTAAAGGAGCTATGGCGCTATCAAGGCTGTTCTCCGAAGAATATCCTACCTGAAGTATCTAAAAAAAGTCTTTTTTTTAATGGGAATGTGTTAATTTTGACACCTTATTTCCAGTTCACTAAATTCAAAATAAATTATTATGTATTTGAATCGTGTCAAAATTAAGTGCATAGCCTCCTCATGCGCAGTTTTTTCCTCCCTTTAATTGCGGTTAACTAGTTAACTGTTAAATCCGCGTAGTGTGCGCAAGGAAAACAAACGTGTTGAGTGAGTGAATTCAATTTTGTTTTGCGGGATTTTAATATATTATTTTTGTATTATGGCTGGTGAAACTTCGTTAGCTAGACAGCTTAAAAAATTGGCTGTTCCACAAACTACTTTGCTTATTCCAGAGAAAATTAAAAAATCTTTCTTATTCGACCACCGGGATGCCGCTGGTTTAGATCGCGATATTATTTTCGCTTATGGTACAACAGGACTTGACAAACTTAAGATAATCAATCCATTGTTCCAAAAATTTGAGCAGAATTTGTTCAGTTTAAGTTACAAAGAATTTGAACGATCCGTACAAAGTGACAGTGTAAACAAAAAGTTGGATGAGAATATTACGGAGTTTCTTCGAATGCTTTCTCCCTATTTTCTAATACGAGCTGCTCATGAAGCTTTAGAATGGCTGGTATATCGATTTCATATACATATGTATAATGTTGATGAACTTGTTGCATCTGCATTACCGCACTGCCAAACGTCTGTTTTTGTGCGAGTTATTCAACTGTTGAATTTGGACGACGACAACAGATGGTCATGGTTAAAACCCGTGCAGAAGTCTGGTGTTCATCTCGAATATTCTGCAGTCTTAAATCATTTTAATTCTGATCGTGGCTTCAGAAAATTTGTCTGCGATTTGGCACCGAATGTTCTGAAAGTGTATGGAATGGGCAATGTAGCTGTTGCAACACCAGTTATTTCATTTTCAATGCTTACAATCTACTATGCACTCGATATATGTGACAAAGTGACTGATAATTTGATTACATTTATTTTTCCTTATATATTAGCTGGACTTAAATCAAAATTCAATAAATACATTTCTTGTTCATATGTTATTATTGGGAAAATAATGATGAAAGTAAAGTTATCAGATGTGTTAGTGTCAGATTTATTGTTAAAAGTGTTTGAAAATGTTCAGGTGGATTTATTGGAGGAAATATTTAAATTGTTGTTGGTGATATATCAACAACAAGATCTCAAGACGATTCCAGAAAAATTATTCCCTTTTTTGTGGTCTGAAAGTCTTACATTGAAATATTTGGAAAGTCTAACTGAAAAATATGAGGCTTCATCTTTACTTAATGCTTTTATTAGAAGTTCTGTGCCTTATTTATACGAGTTGCAGCAGAATAAGTCTACCTCAAAAGGGAGAAAATTCTGCTGGTTTTTTAAATATATGCTGACCAATGTTAAACTAAATGAAAAGTGTGTTATTTTACTCTTCAACGAAGTTTTAAAATTCTATTTGAAATATCTTGCCAAAAAGCAAGGCAATTATGCCAAACAGTCCTTGAAAGAGAGTGCAAAATATTTGCTAAAATTTATAGAAACTAAATATCCTGAATATTTTGATAAAGCTATTAATTCCTTCTTAAATAAGAAAAAAATGAATGCTAACGAACATTTGTGCGAACTGATTAATGCTTCGGTCTGCAGTGTGAAGTACAAAATCCTGCCTGATGTGCAGACATGCTTAGTCCTTGCATTGAATCATGTTAATATGAATGTAAGGAAAAATGCAGTTAAAAATTTAATAAAAAAGTCATTGAAAGACGTTGCTGATAAGGAATTCATTTCAAATTCTTTATACGAAAGATTGTATGATGATTCTAGTGTGGTGATGCAAGTTTTATCACATCCTAAAGCCCTTCTTCAGTTGCTTGAAAGACAAAAAATGCATATTGCATTTGAACACATATTAAGAAAAAATATCTGTAAGGATTCTCAATGGTATCATGCTCAGATGCAGTGTTTGGATATTTTGGGCTGTTCTTTTGATGGAGTATTCGAGGAATCTTTCGATTTATGGCATACTCTACTTCCTTTTCTTTTTCCTGTAAACCGTAAGAATTTTGAAGGCTTTATTAAAATTTTAAATTCTAATGTATGTGATATTTTGCCAATATTTCAAATTGTGAAGTCTTCAAAAAGAATTGATATTCATGGGAAAAGCATCAGTGATGAAAATTTGATTCAGCTGAATTCTGTTATTATATCATGTGCAAAAGAGTACCTTGACAAATTAGATCAGTCAACCAAATCTTTATTTTTGTCATTATTACACCAGAAAGTGTTGAGTGTAAAATGTAATTCCCTTTTTGTCATATATGGTTTTATTTTGGGTCATGGAATTTTAACTGAGAATAATTTAGATCAGAAATTAGATATGGTAAAAAATTTATTATCATTTTTAAAATTTATTCTCTCAAACCCTCACCAGCTGTGGATAGCATTTGGTCAGTGTGTCTCTGAACATGCAATTATCAGTAGTAATATTGATGCTCTTTTGAATGGCAAGTTCCCCTCTTCGGTAATTAGTTTTTCATTTTTGAATGCTATAAAAAGTGTAAGTTTAGATGGGGATGATTTAGGCTATAATCATTGGCCCAATATGGATGCATTTCAAATTTTAAATCTTTTATTTGAATTTTGTATCATTCAGATGAACTCACTTAAAGGAATACTATCGGAGAGTTTCAGAATACTTCAGATGGAATTTATTCGTGTACATTTTTCAGACGTTAAACGTTTCTTCTGGTTTTTGTCACAGTATTGGTGCAACTTTAATGAACAGTACACTACCTTGATTCATTTAGGTTCTCTTAAGATTACAGAAACATATTTTCAGCAATCTCGTGTGATGGATTGGTTTTTTGACAGTTATGTACCTTTTATTTCTCTCATCAAAGCTGTAGTATCTTCAGTAGAAGGTACACGTGAAGCTGCACTGAATTTATTATCAACTCTTTTGCAAAATACTCAGCATTGTGAACATGCACTCAAATATCTAGCTGAAGATATATGCAGGAATTCTGAAGAAATAAAAATAGATCTTAGGCAGTGTTTTTATGTTATACATGATTGGTTAGCTCCTGCTGCTGAAAATTCTAATGCACAGGTTTCTAAACTTCCACTTAGAACATTAGTTTTAGAAAATTTTCTTAAAATTATGTCTGATAATCATACTCCATATGATATAAAATATTTCATTTTATTAAGTCTTGAAAAGATAGATAGTGTTAATCTTTTATCAGCATACATTCCTGTTTTGAAACATTTTATTGAACAGTTAAAAGATGGAAAAGAATCTGCTGATGGACTTGTACTGAATATTGTAAAATTACTTTTATGTAAATATACTCCTAAAACTGCTTCATGCTTGGTGGATAAAAAAATAGAAACTATTATCCTTTTTGAATGTTTGCAGTGTGTCATTGATAAAAATCAACTTGAAGAGATGGATGTTGAAGATGACAATGACAAAAATCAACTTGAAGAGATGAATATTGAAGAAGTTGATGACAAAAATCAGTTTGAAGAGATGGATGTTCAAGAAGATGTCAGAGTAATAAAACAAACTATGAAGGATAGGTCAGTTCAGTTGTTAACTTTGAAGATCATCACTAAAGAATTTTTCAGTGCAATTCCATCATCTTCAGTGCAACAGAAACTTCTCAATACACTCATAGAATTGTACATCACTTCAACACTCGATATAAATTCAGCTGTTAGAAAAGTATTAAGGAAGTTATGCACGTATGCACATTTACTTTTAAAAGATTTGCAGATGGCAGAGTTAGTTACGTCAAAAGGTACATCTTTGAAAGAAATGAAGAAATCAAAAATTAAAGAAAGTGCATTATCTGAAAATTCTAATGCATTAAACAAAGGGCCGTGGAAAAAGGTCATTGTCTTACTAGAAATAATACAAAATAAAAAAAAGTTAGAAAAAAGAGAACTTCTAATTCCAGAACTTTTTCAGCTTTTAAATAAAAGTTTGAATTTTGATAGCAATACGTCAGTTGAGTATTTGAGACAGTTAATTCTTTCCACAATATACAACTGCTGCCAAGAACTTGGGACTAGTGGCCTTGATGAAAGGCAGTTCCAAGTAGAACTGATTGTTCAATGTATTCGCTCATCTACAAATCCTAAAACTCATCATGAATCATTATTATTGCTGAATCTTGCTGCAAGTATGTTTCCAGACTATGTTTTAAGTAATGTGATGTCAATTTTTACCTTTATGGGATCCAGTCTTGTTCGTCAAGATGACAGTTATAGTTTCCAAGTTATCTCCCAAACAATTGAGACAATTGTACCATCACTTCTGGCAGCCAGTAGCCATCAAGAAGAAAGTGAGGCTGTTCAAGTAGTGGCATCAGTCATTCGTGTTTTTGTGGAATCCCTTTCAGATATTCCAGGGCATCGTCAATTACCTTTATTTACAAAACTCATTACAACTCTGGATGCTTCAAAGTATTTATGGATTCCTTTAGGACAGATTTGTGATCACTATGCTACAGTATTTCATAACATAACATCTGAAGATGTAGATAATTGGAAAATTGCACCAACACTTGAATTTGCTATAAATTTACACAAACACTTTTCACCTAGTGTTCAAATAGATACATGTATAAAATTGATCAACTTTCTTGGAATGTTGCCCGATTCAAAAGAAGATTTGGAAACAAATGCTGAAGTAATTTCTAAATTTAAAGAACCATTTAGTGTTATCAGTCACTCTGATAAACAGTTGCAAGTGTACAAGCATAATGTTTTATCTTACATAAATATCTGGTTGTCATCGCAAGCATTTGTGAGTCAAGTGTCAGAGTTGGATTTAAAAGCACAATATAGTTTAGAAGAGAAATATGAACAGTTATTAGAAGCAACTTTAAGTTATTTGCAACATCAGATTAACATTAGTAAGTTACATGCGAATGATCAAAGAACTGCAAATAATCTCATGCCTTTGTTATATAATTTGGTAAGTCATATTAATTTGTTGTTGCCATGTAATTTATTCATAAGGGTTGTGCGCGGATTGTTCCGTAATACAGATTTGATTATACAAAAAAATGCTATAGAGTTATTGATTGCAAAATTAGAACAACATAATCTGTTTTCTGATGAAAATTACGAATCTTTAGTAAAGTTACTAAAACCATTGATTAAAATTGTTAAAACATATACAGAAATAGAAAAGTCTGAATTGGTAAGCTCAGCTGTAAATCAACAAACTGCATTATATTCTTTGCATTTGCTAGCTAAAGTTATTGGGCATAAGTATCCATTAAAGTTTTTTAAAGTTCTTCGGATTACGATAAAAATTTTAAGTGATAAGGAAAATCAGCCAGAGCTTGCCATAAATGCTTTGCTGTGTCTTGCTCAGTTGTGCGTTTGTTTGAATGTTAAAGTGTTACTGCAGTTAAATTCATTTATGCCAATAATAGTTGATCTACTTCATGATGATAGAACTATAAATTTAAATGAATGCTTAGTGATCAGTATAATTACTGCACTACAAAGTTTGATTGAAAATATTGGACAATTTTTAAGCAGTTATATGGAGTCCCTTGTGACAGGAATTTGCAAACTTGCAATCAAATATTCTGCAAGCAAAGCTGTTTGTGAAAAACTGCATGTCTTACGATGTTTATTAGCTAAAGAAATATCTCTCAGAGTTTTACTTTCTTCAGTAGAAAGTGGTTATACAAAGCTTTTATCTGAGAATAAAAATGCTGTCATTCCATTAATGGAAATTTTTGAAGAAAAATTAAATTGTTGCAAATATGAGGACATTGAAGCATGTTCGCCACAGCTGCAAAAATTTTATATTTTGCTTTTGGATTTTCGAAATCTGAATTCTTCGGATTCTCCAGAATTTATTGAATCAGTCGAAGACAGCATAATTTCCTGTTTGAAAACTTTCATTTTAAAATTGTCTGTGACTCGTTTTCGAACATTTTTTCAGAAAGTGTACCAGTGGGCAATATCAGCTGAGGAACAAGAGCAAAAACTTAGAATTTTTACTTTTTACAGATTAACATGTGAATTATCACAATCTTTAAAAAATTTGTTTGTGCTGATGGCTAAATATTTCCTTAGGCATGCTGCAAATATTTTGGACCGAAACAATTGTTCAAAGACGGGCAGTTATTTTGAAGAAAGTATCGCCATGTCATCACAACTTTTGAACTGTATTCTGGATACCTTGAATTTCTGCCTTTTATATGACGATGGTCAACTTTTAGATAAAGAGAATTTTGAAATATTGATGCAGCCTTTAGTGGATCAGTTAGAAAATATACATGATGAAGCATTGTATCAAGAAATGGTAGAAAGTCATTTATCCAGCTGTATTGCACATTTCATGGCAGCAGTATCTGATCATGCATTATGGAAAAAACTGAATTACCAAATTTTATTAAAGACAAGACATGATTCTCCAAAATTAAGATTTGCAGCTCTTCAAGTTATACGTGATGTTGTGCAAAAGATGGGGGATAATTATCTTACATTATTGCCAGAATCAATACCATTCCTTGCAGAAATAATGGAGGATGAAAGCTTTGAGGTTGAACAAGAATGTCAGTCAGTTATTATTGAAATGGAAAAAATTCTAGGTGAACCAATAAGAAAGTACTTTTAATAACTAAATTCATATCTTGTAAATAAGTATTAAATTTTGAATAGCATTTAAACTACTATTTTATTGTGGAAAATCAAGTGTTCCTTCACTTTTGAATTGTAATAAAACAAAATATAGAGCATTTAAATTTCTTTATATTCATTAATGAAAATTTTTAATTTACACATTTGGGGTTTTTAAAACTCAAGTTATTTCGAAATAAATAAAGTTAATTTTGTTTCACAGTATGTATAGAATGCTGAATTCCATTTTTAGGTATATGTTTCATGCTAATAATGTAATTATTTACTTATTTATTCAATTGCCACATCGTGCATTTATAAACAAAAGTATATTTTGAGAAACAGAGGTTAAACATTGATGATTTTGAGTAATACTTGATACTTAAAAAAATCATTGTTTTTCATTTAATTTTTACATTAATTTTAACTATGTATACCTTCTCAGAATTTACTAATTTGTAAAATTTAACTCTTATTTACCATCACTATGAATAAAGAAGCTTCATTCATTTTAAAAGATGTCTCAAATTATATTCTAAGCTAACTTCTTCCTTTTTTCCAACCCATTTAAATAAATATTAAACCATGAAGTGCATTTTTGGAAATTTTCCCCAATAAATTGATTAAAGAAACTGATTTTTGCAAAATTTAGTAATTTAATATTTTTTAATTTGGGTGATCATATTTCACATAGGATTTTGTATTGTTTTTATCATTTGAGTCTGTTACTATTTGAACAAAGGTAAAATATTATTCTTTTATACTTAATACATTTGTTATTAATTAACAAATTAAACTATTAAAAAGCAGTAGATGCAGTCCTTAAGAATAATATTTTTTGGGGGGAAATTGCAGAATTGCACACTGCTTGGCGCGTTTTTAAAAATTGCACATACTCTGTATTCATGTACACATCAACCTATTTTCACTTAAAAAAAATCCCAGAATGCACAAAAATGGCATTGTGCACTCCTTTGACTTAATCCATGTACACATCGATCATTTTCACTTAAAAAGTCAAAGAAAATTGACAAAAATCCAAACCGTCTTGTAAAAAGCGCCAAACAAATAAGTGGGTGATTCTGCACTTTAGCCTTTTTTTTATTTTTTAATCTAATTGATTTAAATAAAAAATGAATGTAACTCATAATTCATTAAATATTTTTATAGAATTGCATTATGTTTTTTCACTCTATACAGAAGAGATATAACATTCCCATGTTAATATAAGTGCATATTCAACCAATATCCCATAAAATGTTTTGCTATTCTACTTGGCCTATCTCTACATCACCTGGATAATAACTACTGATAAACCATCTGAAACTTAAAAATAACTTTTGGGTGATCGTTAAAAATCCAAGCATTTTGATTTTTTTTTTTTTTTTAATTTGAAAAAGTCTGATCTTTTAAAGTTAAAATTCTTTGCAGCTGGAAAGTCTAATCCGAATTTTGTACTTTCTGAAAAAGTTTTAACTGAATAAAAAGCCTTGGATACAGATTTGTACTGAAGAAGTAATCTAACAATTTTCTTACTTGAAAAATAGTCTGTGGTAAATTGTAATGTAAAAGAAAATAGGGCTCAATTGTTCCCTTGACAAATAATAACTTGAAAAAAAAACGTGCACTTCCTTGTTCATTCTGTAAGCCTTTTGTGACATTTGAAATTTGTGTGCTACAGTTTTAATAATTCTGAAACTCAAGTGTGATCATGCTAATTAGGATGTACTAAATATTCTGTGATATAGCTATACATTATATATATATATATATATATAAAAGTGATATAACTAAATTCTAGATGAAATTTTTTAAATATATAAATATATAATAGCAGACATCAAGTCTGCTATGCTCCTTTTTAAAATTAGAAATATTTTAAATGTGAAAAGTGCATTAGATAAATAATTTAAGATATGTTGTAATGAGAACATAATATTTTTCTGCTGTTATCCACTAATGTTTCTTCATGAAACATTTAATATAATTGAATGAAATGAGAATTTATTTTCATGACACTTTATACAGTGTGTAAGGAGGAATGCAGTACAAAGTCCGAGATCCGAACTCGTCGGGACTTCGGTGATTCTGGATTTGTGATTTTTTCCGATATTAGATCATCAGTTTAAATCTAGTAAGATGGCATGTAGAAATTATAAAATCAAAAGTATTAAATCATGCTTTATGAAATACAGTCGCATGTGCATAATACCTTTATGCATGCGCATATGCGTTTACGTATACGCGTTTAATGTATAACGGACGGTATAAGCTAAGCTAAAATTATCTATTTCAGTTAATGTTATGATTGCATTGTTCCTTAATCTTCAAATTGTATCCGGCTTATTATTTTTTGCAGACTGTTAGAGCAATTTTATAAAAGTAAGCTTGAACTTTTGATTATGTCAAATAGAATTTCCGATTCTGGAGCTGCCGAAAGGATCTATGCAAAGCGAAAGCCTGTTTCGATGTCCATAAAAACAAAAAGTGGAATTGCTGCAAAAAATGGATAAAGGCATGAAGAAAGTGACAGAGAGGTGATTTGTATCTCTAACCATTCCGAAATTTCACGCTGCTCCGCGGGGGAAAAACGTCGCGGCGCGCAATGAACTGGAAGTTGATTTGTCAGCACTATCAGGGCAGATGTTTTTATTTTATTTGGCTTATAATTCATTACTAAATGTAGTATTTCATCTCGATGTACTCTTTCTTTGATATGATTTAAATCAAATTCATCATAAATATCACAAATACACATCAAATAGTTTTCTGGTTGCAATTTTCTAATTTCGACTATGCGTAACGTAAGCTTTATGCATGCGCGCGTTGAAAGAAATGTTTAATAAAGTAAACAAATAAATATTAAGCTTTTTTTGTAAATTTTGATACCCTTTAGACCATAATTGTTCTTTATTTCATAAATTATGGTTTCATATTTTTAATTTTATAATTTCTGCATGCCACCTTACCAGATTTAAAGTGATGATCTATAATCCGCAAATGCTGAAGTCCTGACGAGTCCGGATTAAAGACTTTTGACTGTAATAAAGGACTTATAATCAAATGGGTATTAAAATTTAAAAAGAAGCTTAATATTTGTTTACTTTATTAAACATTTCTTTGAATTTACAATCATGTAAGTTGCTTCATTTCTTGTGCTAATATTTTCTCTTCAATTCTGTAAACAGACGTAATTTCTTGTTCATTTACAAAGTTCCACTGTTCAAGTTCTGCAGTGCTGTGCCGAGAATTCTGACTAACTTGTCAATCGAAATTTTTTCGGGTTTTCTTCCGCAAAGGATCCGTTGGTGCCAGTGCGTATTTATTTGCCAAGCTCACGCACGGCTAATCGGCTATGATTTTAGTGGTGTATAGTTAAGTTGCAAGATATTTATTATATGGTAGGCATGATTTTAGCGGTGTACAGTCACGTTATAAGATATTTAGCATATAGAAGTAAAATAAATAGGTTAATAATGACATTTAGCGGTGTATAGTTAACCCGGGAGAACGCGCGTCGCAATTAAATGACATACAAATGAAACGTATTATTACAATTCAGTAAAATAATGCATTCTGTATTAATTGCAACATTTATTATATAAAATAGCTTAAAAATAATGTTAATTTTAAAATTAATAACAAATAAATCAAAAGTACTTTATGTTTTCTTCAGATGACTAGGAATCATTGATTTCAATGAGAAATTTGTGTTTTTTATTTTTGAATGCAATTATAATCCATATTATGCAGAATTATTAAATGGACAATGAGTTATATAATTAATTTTCAAATCAATTAGGCTCAAGAAGAATTAGATATTTTGTAGTTTATACATGAAGCTTCTATTTCACAGTGTTCTTGACATATATTTTTTTTACACTTCATACAGTTTTTGATTTTCTGTCTTTTTCCCTTGAGCTCATGTAACATCTCCGGTAACATAATTTTATTTTCTTTGTTTGCAAATCTTGAAGAGAATCTCTGTTGTGATTTCAAATGAGGATCTAAAAGTGCAAAGGCCAAATCAGAAGTGCCTCCTATTCCTGAACTTCTCTAGTGGAGTTTTAGTAGATAAAAGCAACATCATTGAATTTATGCCAGCAATATTTAATAGCAAAAAAAAAAAAAAAAAAAAAAAAATGTCCATAGGCCATCAGTTTGGTATTCTGGCCACAGAGTAAGTGCCACCCATTTCGTTGACTATATCAACTACTCCTTTTGTCATGTTATAAAACGTATTTACTTCAGATTTCTTCAAACTCCCGTGCTTTCATCAATATGGTTATCATTGTGCATAGTTGACAAAAGGCTAACACATTTGTTCTTTTCAGCCATATAAGAAAGTAGCATTATATCTTTTTGAAACCCCAAGAGAGTTGGATGCTGTTCTCTAATCTTATTCAACATAAATTCAGGTGGGATAATCTTCTTCCCTTTTTTTTTTTTTTTTTTTTTTTCTGTAAGAAATTGGCCAATTCATACCAACTGCCTGTGGTAACGTTTCTTCCAGAATTGGATAATGGAGCTAGGATGCACTTTGCTTTTTCACAAGAACTGTTGACTTTCTTGTATGGCCCATCTGGCTGCTGACCTGAGTAAATTTCCATGCTGAAAGTATAGATTCTAAAATCAACCATAATAAATATCTTAATACCATATCTTGCAGGTTTCTTAGGCATATACTGCTGAAAGGAGTATCGTCCTCGAAAAGGTTCTAGCTTTTCATTATATCATGTAGGGGAATACAAGTCATGTATTCCCCTACATGATATAATTTCTGAAAATTCTTGACAGAATTTTCGAACAAATCTGTTATTGGTGCTAATCACTCTTTCTTCTGCCATCCTGTGTTCCGACATTATTGAATTGTAATCGACATTATCCTTATAACAGATGTGGGAAAAACCAGCTGTTCCAGTATTTTAGAATTTGCATCAGGCCTGATGAAATTAAACATGACACCATTTTCTTCTGAATGACCATACGTATGAAAAAGGCAGATGAAATACGTATGAAAAGGCAGATGAAATACAGTATTCTCATTTCCATTTATGAAATAACCAATGCTGTTGACAAATTAATATGTACCCTAGGATAATTCCAGTTCCAGGATATCATCAAATTATTTCTCCTTATAACAGATGTGGGAAAAACCAGCTGTTCCAGTATTTTAGAATTTGCATCAGGCCTGATGAAATTAAACATGACACCATTTTCTTCTG